AAAAATAAAATAAAATAAAATAGCTTTCGATTTTGGTTAACTGGCTTCAACAAATTAAAGTAAAGTAAGCAGATATGAAATTTTATATGGTTTCCAAATAAAACATTCTGCGGCGTGTTTCGTTATTTTCAATAAACATATCTCACAAAAGATCCATTTCAAGACTCCGGGTAATTTCTTTATGTGTATTCATTAGAGAAACAGCGTTCAGCCGTTCCTAGCTTATGGTCAATCGAAGAAAAATTTTTAATCAACGCAGACTACTAAAGGATTGTTTTGCTGTACATGTTGGCACTGGCTGGACCAGAATTATTTTATAAAACGAACAATATCCGAGGCAATGCTTCTCAATCTAATTTGTTCTTTAGCGCGGATAAAATCTAGAGCTGATTGAAAATCTACTAATTGAACTTTTTTTCTCCTAGCTTCGTCAATGTAAAGGTCCCGGTGGAGCTGCAGTTTTTGATAATTAGAAAAGTTGTCCTAGTAGAAGGGGTTCATGTAGCCGATGCTGCATTCAGTGTTATTTGATCCAATCACAAACTCTTCAACTCTTGTTAAATGGCGAGTGGTTTTGGTTGATTCAAATCTATCGATGAGGCCAACTAAAACTGCATCTAAACTGGAAAAGTATAATTGCTTGTAAATCTTATTTGGATCCTTTGGCTGGTAATAAGTATCTCTGAAGCCGACTTCAAATCTTGCAGGTACTTTCTTCTTCCTGGACAGAGCTGGTTCGTCTTAATCCATCATTTTAGCAAATTCAATGGCCACTTCGAAAGGTGTTTTAAAGCGTGACTCAGTACGGAAAGTTCTCAAAATTTGCTTTGGGGTCTGAATGATAGATTCAGCCTTACTTGGGTAAAAAGGTCTAAATGATGTTCCATTTTGGTGTCCATCTTTGCTTTCATTTTGGTCTTTTAGGCTTGAAAACCAAGCAAGCCTCTTTGATAAGCCTCTGGTAAAAGAAATGAACTTTTGAACAAGTGACATAATGTTTTCTATATCAGGTATGTTTTTTATTTGATCTTGTACGATTGTACGACCAAATTTAGATGTGAGCTCTGCAATGAACATAAAGGACTCTGCTTTTTTGTTGAAGAACAAGTTTTTGCAAGCCAGCTATTTCAGAAGATATGGCAGCAGCTCCATCCTAGCATTGCCTCCGACAGTTCTCAAGCCTTAAGTTGGAACAAAGAAGGGCGTCTTTCATAATCAAAAACAGATCCTTACTTTAAGCTGTGGCTGTCTCATAAAATCCACAAAAATCCTCATTTTGAATTTTGAAATTCATCGTCCAATTTTGAAAGTCATCGTCTACAGTACGGAATGATATTGATACCTATCCAAATTAAAAAAATTATAAAATTTATTAAAGGAAAATATAAAGTTCAATGAATTGTTTAGCTAACAATACCTGCTCTCTTCCTATGTTATCAGACGATTCATCCAATATAACTCCAAAGAAATTTCTTTTTTTTATTGTGTTTGATAATTCACGTTGGATAAATCACAAAATATCCAACCAAATTTTATTTATGATATCTGGAGATCCACTTGTACTTCTCTGGTCTATTCATTCATTTTTTCAAAACCGGTACATCCGTAGACCTCAGTTCTAAGAGCTGGAATAGATTTGAAGACTCCTTTGTGTTGCCTCTGATGACCAAGCCTTGACAGCCGAGAAAAATCAGACTAGAAAATATATGGTCGAGAACTTCTCTTGCGTCCTTCATATCTTGCAGATGTTGAGCAGAAAGTTTACTGGAAACTGTAGAATCTGACGTGCTGTCAAATTCATTTCGTTAGCGGCTTGGTGAAAATGGCTTGTTTCACGACGGCAAAACTTCTTATGAGCTTTCTTCCAGTTATTAAATCCATTAATAACAAATCCTAGAGCTGATTTTCTTTCTCTTGGTTCAGTAGGCAGCGGAAGCTTTATTTCAGTAGCTTTGACACACGAGGAACAAAAGGCTTTTTCTTTAACAGCGTCATACTTAATCCACTTGTAATTATCTTCCCAGCTGAACAGATATCAACAAATGTTTTTTCCCGCTTTTTTTCATTTGAACCTTCTTTTAAATAAGATTTGCATAACGATGAATAGAGAATTCTGGTAAGAATCTCTTATTTTAGGTTGTTATTAAAAATTTGTTATAAATTTATAATAAAGTTAGCTTGTACCTTTTTTGTTCATCCCAATCATTATCATCAACAAGATCTGTATATTTGTAACTTTAACTTATCATCGGAAAATGATGATACTTATACGGCAGATGAAATTGGCACATTGGCATTATGAGAATCATGATTCTTAGTTTGAATGATAAACTTATCCATGCTGTAAGTTTTTCGAATAGCACATTTTTTTTATTTTTATAACTCTATTTAATTATTTCTTAAATTATGGAAATTAATTAATCATTTTTTAAGAATAATCGACAACAATCTGTCATTTAAACAAATAATAAAGTAAATAAAAAATAATAGTAGTAAATAATTTTCAAAATTCGACTGTTATAATTAAAGATAAAAATAAGTACAAATATATAAGCATCACTCAAAATGTCTACACAGTAAAAGTAAAAAGCAGCAAATTAAAAATTTACTCAGTAAAAGTTACTTACAACAGCTGTTAAAAAAGTGATGCAATTTTTTAACAGATGTTACCAGTTATCTTTTATAGCACTCTGTATAGAAATGAAACTTCGAATTAAAGTTCTAAAAAGAAACCAAAGTTTGAAACATCAGCGATGGACTTGTATGAAGTCTTAATAACTTCATAAAGTTATCGTTAAGTGAACTCGCTGTATACTTTAAAATTTGCAAAAAAAAAGTTTTATTACCGTCAAGTCAAGTCCACCAAGGTTAGTTTTGCCTTTCTCCTTTTTTTTCCGTGGCAGCGCTAAACTAATTAAAATTGAAGTTTTCACTGCGCTCTCCTACGGAAAAAAAAAAAGAAGACGAGAATGGCAACCCTAACCAAGATACCTTTCTAACTGGTTTTCTGTTAAGATTTATTAATTGATACTTTCTTTTTATTTGAATCTTAAAATTTAATTTCATTAATATATAATCTACACAAAAACAAAAACGTTGCTAAAACGTTGCTAAAAAAATTAATTTTAAAGCACTGGTATAAGGGGTGAAAAAAATCTTAAACTGAGATCAAAAGATTGAATCTGAAATTTTATTTTAACATAAAAACGTGTTTTTATTTGAAAGAATGATTCCTTTCTTTGTCAAGTTTTCCAAGATTTTATCTTAAAAACGTTTTTTTTTTTGAATTTTGATTTCTTCCTCTGTTTAAAAATAAAAAATCAAAATAATGTTTATTATAAAATTAGATAAAATTTCAAGGGGGGCAATCGAATTTTCAAGGGGGCAAAATTGACAAAATTGAAGACAGCCTGTCCCCGTTGCACCCCATACTCTACGCCTATGTGTGTGTGTGTGTGTGTGTGTGTGTGTGTGTGTGTGTGTGTGTGTGTGTGTGTGTGTGTGTGTGTGTGTATATATATATATATATATATATATATATATATATATATATATATATATATATATATATATATATATATATATATATATATATATATATATATATATATATATATATATATATATACACACATATATTATATATATATATATATATATATATATATATATATATATATATATATATATATATATATATATATATATATATATATATATATATATATATATATATACATATACGTAACTTATTTAAGCATTGTTATCTACATGTGTTCAAGTACTGTCTACTATTTTTCTATATTTTGATTTTTTTATTTCAATTTACCTCCCTACCCAGTGAAAAAATAATGTTTATCCCACATGGATTTCATGTGGGAAAAGCATTTTTTTTTACTGAGTAAGGCCATGAAGGCCACTCTAGTCGAGAAAGCTACTTTAGTTATGGTTACAACCCTCTCTCAACTCTAAAATACAAACCTTGACGAACAAAGCTGGTGCGCAGAGAAACAAGTTGAGTGCAGTTCTACCAGGGGCATGGTGGAAATCGTACATCAAAAAATAAAATTATTCTAAAAACAACTTTATCTAAAAATAGTTTAGATATCTAAACATATGATTGTTATTTAGTTCTCTTAATTACTAACAAATTAATAAAGAATTCTAAGTAAACTCCCCATGATAGTACCATTTGTTTTTTTAAATTGAAATAAAAAGCATTCTAAAATTGTATTTATCTTTTTTTAAGTTTTCTTTTCTTAGTGAAAAAAGTAGAAATTATATATTTTTTTAACTGAGTTTTTTTTCTAATATCTCTTAAAATAATGGGCCCAAGTATTTGTTTACCAGTACTGATTCCATAAAAAAGATTACAATTTAAAGTTGTATGGTTTTATATTTTCGAAATTATAATGATTAGTAAATTCATCGGTATCGGTATAGGCTAAAAAAGTGCTATCAGTACGTCACTAATATATAAACAGAGACTATTTTTGACAGCATTGACCGTAATTGGGCATCGATTGAGTGCCGCCTAAATTAAAAATTGAGGACCTTTTTTTTCATATTTTTTACAGCAAATATTGTTATTTTCGCGAAAAGATGCCAATGTCTGGCAATATTTCCACTAAATTTCTTCTGGACGGAAGGTACCACCACCCAAATTTATATATATATATATATATATATATATATATATATATATATATATATATATATATATATATATATATATATATATATACATATATATTTATTTATTAATAACTTACCCAAAGGCTTTAGTATCAATAAAAGTTAAATAAATTCTTTTGAGATGCCATCAAAGTCATTAAATAAAACTTACAAAAAAGAATTTCTTTTTTGTAACAAAAAAATTGAGATTACTAAAAACTAAATGACTATTAAGTAAAAAAAAAGTTTGTCCTAATTAACAGTGTTTGATATGTTTAATAGTTCTTTTTAACATTGAAAAAGTTAAGTTTTTCTTTTTCTTTCAGGTGTCGTTATATTTATAAACTGTGTTAGCGTCCGATGGGCAACAAATATTCAAATTGTTTTTACAGCTGCAAAGTTAATTACAATAACCATTTTAGTAATTACTGGCATTGTCAGATTGGTTCAAGGTAAAGTTTTGTGTATATATATATATATATATATATATATATATATATATATATATATATATATATATATATATATATATATAATTGTATAGGTATATTATGAAATTATTGTTAATATTTTAAGTGCACAATTTTAAATCAAAGTCAAAAAATATCAATGATTAAAAAATGAGGTTGATGCATAACAATAAAACCATTTTTTTGCATTTAAACATCTAATTAAATCTTTATTTATATCTGACGGTGGGTAAACTCCGTTAACATCAGTCATTTTACTTGCATAAAATATAGAGAAAATCAATGGAAAAGAGTGGATCTGTAAAAACAATTTAAAAGCTTTTAATTCCCTAAATAAAACCTATCTGTTACATTCTATTCGCCTGTTTGCTCTTTTTAAATGTTTCTGACTAAACCAATATTTTGATTAAACTCAAACCATTTATTACAATCACTAGCAGAAACAAAACTTTATATTTTGATCATTTTAAAAATGCAAACAGTGTCTCAATGAAATATTTACTACATGTTTAATAGTTTCTGGAACATATGTTCAACAAATATGTTAAACTTTGTAAATTTATATATAAAAATATATTAAAAAATTCTTTTATAATAGTAATAAATAAATGAAATTTTAAAACAACGTCTTTTTAATGGAGTTTCACAGTGACAAAATACATCAAAAAATTTTTTTTTTTTTCAATTACAATGTAAATATAATGTATACAAAAAATACAATGCATAAAAGTTAAATTTTTAATCTTATTTTACACACAATACGAATTATAAATGGCAACCATCGAGTAAGTTTTGTTATGATTTTTTTTAATTATCAGTTCAAAACTTTCGGGAACCTTATGGAAAACCCGTCAAATCCCCAGTTTCTTCGGCCCTGATAAAAACCAGATAAAATCCAAACAAGTAAATATGCTTGATTTTATTACCATATGGGACCCGTCTAGAAACCAAAACACTTCAAAATCCCGTTCCCGTAAGCCCAGACAAAAACCATGCGGTACCCGTCTGCCAATGTTGGCTGGGTTAACAGGCTTCAAATGCTACACTTGTAAAATAATACTTTTTAACTGTGTTTAAAAAGATATTTTTAACTATTTATATTAGTAAAACCATATCTGTTTGTTTAAATAATATCATTAGGAAAACACATTTGAAAAATACTTTCTTTTATTTTAACATCAACGCAGGCGTTGAATCCAGGACCTCTTGGTTCTGAGCCAGAACTCTAACCACTGTACCACGCAGTATATTTAAATGTGTAAATATTTGTGCCTAAGCTAATTTTGTCCTAAACAAATTTAAATTGATAAACCTATAGAACTTAATAAGGGTTATTTAGGAAACGTTCATATGCTGATATAAAATTAAAAGACTTGTACAGTCCCAACATTTTTTCTGACGTTAAAAACAGGGGACTCCTCGACTCCAAATTTGCATCTCTGGTTGTAGCTGCTATTAAAGGTGTCAAAACATTAAAAATATATCATCTCCATTATTGAAAAGAATTTCACTATCAGTATTACAGTTTTCAGACATGAGTATTTAATATATATATATATATATATATATATATATATATATATATATATATATATATATATATATATATATATATATATATATATATATATATATATATATATATATATTCTAAATATTTCTCAATAAAACAGTAAACATTATCTTTGCCCTTGTCTCTAGTGTCTGAACAGATGAGATAAATCTTTCAAGTATTATTATTGAAAATAGCACTTATAAATGGTTGAAAACTCTTTTTTATTCAAGAGTGTTTAGTTGTTTATAATCTTTATAATTAAAAAAAAATAACTCTAGTATTCATGAACATTTCATTGCTAAGTCTACTTAAATAGTTCTTTTTCCTGCAATCCTCTTGTCCTATTTAGATTAAGTTGCTAAAATTCTTTTTTTACAAATATGTTCTGGAACTTAAATAAAAAAAAAGCAGTAATTTCTCATTTACTTTCTCTTTGCACCCATTTTTTTTTTTGTATGATGTTTGTTCCCTGTGTGATCTTTGCAGGTGCATATCGCTATAAGTAATAATCAAAGGTTCCCATTCAATTTGCACTTTAACTTGTATGCAGATGTTTCTTCTTAAAGAAGTACATTTTTTAGGCCTCCTCTTACAAAATTTAAGAATAGCTATTTTTTTTTTAATTTCTTGATTGAAAAGTAGAATTAGCCCTTTCCAAAAAAATTGTTGAAATATTTTTCTCATCTTTTTTTTTACCTTTTCTTAAACTGTTGTTTTATCTTTAGGAAAATTTGTAGGCAGTGTCTGTTTGTAATAAACATTAATTGCTAACTTGATATCACTGCTGATGTAACTTGATAATTAACTATGAATGCGTGTTTAGATAAGCGCTCTCATGTCACACTGAAATAGCCTGCTGTTTTAGGCTTTACTACATATATAGACTATCTTATTGTCTGCTTTCACAATGAAATGCCACTACATTAAGGGTTTGGCATGGAGCAGCAATGTTTACTTTCGTTCTTCCTTTTTTCTTTTTTTTATAAAAACATGATATAAATTAACCTAAAAAAAAAGATAACAATTTATGTAATATATTGTTACCTATAGAATATATATATATATATATATATATATATATATATATATATATATATATATATATATATATATATATATATATATATATATATATATGTATATATATATATATATATATATATATATATATATATATATATATGTATATATATATATATATATATATATATATATATATATATATATGTATATATATATATATATATATATATATATATATATATATATATATATATATATATATATATATATATATATATATATATATATATATATATATATATATATATATATATATATATATATATATATATATAAGAATTATGACTTTTCGACTTGAAAAAAAAAATTAATTCATAAATCGAGTAACTTTTATTAGAAAACATTGAAAACATGTTCAACTCCTCTTGGTTGTAAAAAAAAGTTACCCCACAATTCAAACGTTTTGTCATTTATTTAATCTTGTTACTGATACTACTAATATGTGTAGCAAATTCTTTCAATATTTCCTGCAAATCATTTAAAAGTTGTATAGATTAAAAATGTTTAGAACTTTAGAACATTTTGGAATATAACAGAATATTTTAGAAAACTTTAGAACATTCTAGAACAATTTAAAATATTTTCGAACATTCTAGAACAATTTAGAACATTCTCAAATATTCTAGAACATTTTAGACTATATATAGCTGCTCATCTAATTTTATTACAGAAGCGACAAATAGCGCTGTACAAGCCTAGCATTTTTAGCATTCAGAAGAACAATGATGTCTGAACCAATAATCTAATAAAATTTGAAGATTCACGTAAAAGAAGAATTGTCCCTTTGGAAGATTATTCACTGGAAAAAAGTGCAGAATGCCTCTCCAAAAGCAAATTATTGGACGGTACCATTTCCTTGGACCAAAAATCAAAGGAAGAAAGAAGCAAATAGCGGAAATTTTCAAAGAAGTTACCAAATTGTGGAAGAATAAACTGAATTTTCCTCATGTATCTGATCAAGTTATATGCTTGATAAAATGCTAAAAAGTTTTGATGAATGTGTCAAGCGGGGAAGATACAAGCCCCTTGATGAAATTTTTGATATTACTAAAGTGGATGGAACATGGTTATCTTCCAAGGACAAGCTATTGTACCATCTCGAAGTGGAAAGCAAAGAAACAGTGGTATACTCTAAAGGCCAAGCGGCTAGTAAAGAAACAATCCATCCCTCTAAAAGACAAAAACTTTGTAATGAGTCATCCAATTCATCATCTTACTATCCTAGTTTTAGTGATTCTGACTATGACGCTGATGACAGTGAATATAAAAACAATGAAGAAGAAGATGAGACAACTCCTAAGCCAAGCAGTAAACATCATAAAAGCAAAATTGCATATGCAAGCAATTGGCTCGTGAAGGCATTGACATCCCAATCAGCTATTTACAAGTCAACAATCAAAGAGGCAATCAAGCTGAAGGAAGAAATGATTGAAAGTTGGATATGGAAAGTTGGTCCTTATACTTTAATGGCAAGCACATTAACAGATTTAATTATCAAGTGGTTGTTCTTAAAAATGAATGAAGAGAAATCAAATTGTATGTCCTTAGCTTGGTAGATGGCAGGGCTTTAACTATTGCTTAAAGAATTTCTAAAGTCCTCGATGAATTTCACCTGCGGAATTCAATACAGATGATTGTTTCAGATACCACCAGCGTTAACACTGGACAAAAGAATGGTGCTGTTGTAATATTGCAACGAATTTTCACAGAGAAACGCATCAACAAACCTTAGTTTATCAGTTGTCAACACCATGTATTAGATAGAATCCTCCGTTTGGTAATGGATGAAGAACTTGGAAGTACAACACAATTGTCAAACATTGAATATCCATTTGTATTTCTACTGTTGAAGGAGTACGAATGAGTGAAAACAAAGTTTGATAACGAAACAGAAGTAATTCTCGAAACATCAGGCTGAAGAGATGATATGAAATTTTTGCTTCATCTCACTCAAGTGTTCTAATTTTTTGAAAAAAAGCGATATTTTCTATTGATTCCACTATAGGGTATTTATGTAATAAATTGTTATTTTTTTTTACTCTCTCTCTCTCTCTCTCTATATATAAATGTATATATATATATATATATATATATATATATATATATATATATATATATATATATATATATATATGTATATGTATATGTATATGTATATGTATGTATATATATATATATATATATATATATATATATATATATATATATATCATAGCGTTCTCTACTACAGGCCTATTCATCGCGCAACTGGATTTTTTTGTGGAGGCCTACTTTTTTACGGCGAAAAAATTATTTTTCCACGTTCAGACCAGATACAATGTCATGTCGTTTATGACAAATATTT